TGAACTGGTACCAAAATCCCTCACTCCAGCTCCCCTTGGGCTTTTCACAGCCTTGGAGAGAAGGAGCACTGGTACACAGGGGCTCAATCCAGCTGCAGTTCCCTGGATATTCAGAACATAAATAGGGCTGTGTGCTAGTGTGAACCCACCACCAGTGAGCACAGGGGTAGCAGCAGAAAGCGGAGTGATTTTTGCTCGTGTTTTAAGTAGGTGTTTCAAGTAAAATTATTTTTTAGATACAGCTAAATAATGTTACATTTTTTGAACTGATTTTTTTTTTCCATTTTCTATTGCTCCTCGACTGTTTGAGTGCCTCTGCTCTGTGACCAGCTCCAGGACCAGTGTGTATGGTCCATTACACCAGTGTGTATGGCTGCGTACGTAACCAGCCGTGTTTCGGTGTAGTGCTTGTGGCAGACCTAACCCAGCAATAATCCACCCTTCAGAAGTGGGGGCTGATGTGAAAACAATTTACCCACTGGTGTATCCAAGCAAGGATAAGGATACACCAGCTTCTTAAGGAACTTAAGAAACAAAACTTCACCTTCTATGAATAAAAATGGATGGGAAAGGAGGATATGTGCTGTCTCTAGCATCTGTAACATTAGGACCAGAAATAGCTACTTCAGTTTACCATTTAATAAAACACCAGGTTTATAGGGCAAAAAAAATATTGTAAAGAAGAATTACATGGTAAAAAAAGAGAATCCAACAAGAATAATTTTATTTAATATCATTGTAATTAAATTCCAGGTTCTATCCCAATGTAATGACAGAAAATTATTAAACCCATTCACCTGTTAAGTAGCACATATATTATTTATCCCTTTCAGTATTAAAATATAAAAGTTTAAAATCTGAATATAAATATATAAACTATATAATTGTTAAAATCAATGTATAAAAATAGATGTATTATACGAATTCATAAATGCAGTTCACTTAGAAGTATAAAATTAGTCTGATAACTTTTGAGATAAAATTGCAAGATAAAAATACAAATAACATTAAAATGACTGCAGTCATGCTGTTCTGTTTGTTCATGTTGTATCGGTTAATTAAATCACCCTGACTTACATTACTCCATCCTTTTTCTATGCTGTTGCAAATAAAACAGTATAAATAGGTCTATAATAAATACGATCAATAACCAAAGACATTTATCCTTTACATATTAATTTAAACTAGATTATAGAGTTTAAATATGGAGAATAGCAAATACATGATCATTGTTGTTCCTGGCATCAAACTGATCACATCACTACTGATAGGTCACACTTAGCCAAGTTTCCTCATCCTGGTATATTACATTTCTGCTGAAGAGTACATTTTGGTTGTGTTCTGCATAAACTGTTTATATCTCTCTAAAACCCACCAGATGTACATCTTCTTGTCTGCTGTTTTCATCCTCTGGATCTGGCTACGATCCACCTGTGGAAGGTCCTGGTTCTGGCAGGTGTAAAGGGCAGCTCGTTCACTCAGAGTCACGTTCAGCTGGCGGATGTTTGCATTGACGAGCTGAGTTAAGTTCTTACCGCAGATGGATTCTATGTCGCTTCTCAGATCTTGCAAAATGTTGTAGAAGACATGGAAAAAGCAGCAATGTGCATCAAAAGCTGGGCACAAGGGTATCTTCTGCACTATGTCTTTGGCTTGGGAGGCAGCAGAGAGCCAGCCTGCAGTTTGGGATGTCACAGGGCTACACGTATTCTGTAGGGGAGGAAAAGGAGAGACATTATTAATCTTTAGGTTTGCATCTTTCTTGGTAATCACTTTGTGTTTGAATGTCTGGGCACATAACACCTATCTTTCAGTTCGTGCATGCTTGGGTTTCTTTGTTGTTGTTCAATGGCTGTATTAACACCTACGCTCCTTTTATTGAGTAGGTATTGCACACTATCTGTGTGCAGCACTTTCTGTCTTAATACCCTGGTTGGCTTTGGTTTTTTTCCTTTGCCATATGGGCAAAATCTACTCACGCAAAGATGTGCTCGGCCTGAGCATACTTTCATCATTTTCAGCAGAGGTGGTTTTGATTTCAAGAATGAATTTGGGGGAAATGTTTTATGTTGATTTGTATCAGCGTGTTCCCAGGAATTGAGATCTGTCTGAAGCATTGACACTTGGGTTCAGTGCACGTTGTACCTTCCCCAAGCAGGAGTTTCGGCAGAAGTGCTCCTGACTGCTCTAGTACTGGGATCAGACCCAAGAGCAAAGCAATTCTCTCCATGTTTCCACTGATCACCTCAAAACAGATGCCTGCTTCAAGCCCAGCGTGACTCAGGAAGCCAAGAAGGAGCAATGCTCTTCATCTGGAAGTTCAAAGCTAGCAGTTAGCTGAGGCAAAGTTGCCCAAACTTTCCGCAGCTGTTCTAGACATTGCTCCAACTGTGCCCTAAAATACTTCAATGTAAATGCCTTCCTTTTTGTATGGAATACAGAGAAGAGACTATTTTAGGTTCTAACCCAAATGTTTCTCTTCCGATGATCTTTCTAGTATATTATAGTAATTCAAGAGATTTCTGCACAAAGACATGGCAAATGCAAAATAGTGCACTTACGTAGTTCTTAAACAAGGCAGTGGCTTGCCATTCTATCACCCATGCTAAGGGCTTTAGTCGAGTAGTAAAATGCTTCTGCATCTGTCCTGTAGTAATTTTGCTTCCTTCTGAGGTGGCTGTTGGTGCCAAGGAGCCCAAAGGAACCAGTGAACAGAAGAGGAAGATCGCAAACCTGTTGATCTCTGCATTTGAATAAAGAAGGGAAGGAAGACAAGAACACCATGATCAGTCTCAAGCCTCTACATCATTTTTGCAAAGCTTCCTGCTTTTGTGCAGCACACTAAATGCCTAAAGGGATCGACATGAAGTGGCTGAGGTAATGATGAACACCAACCAGTCCAACGTTAGACGAGTAGCAAGGTTAAATGGTACCCACCTGCTCGGCGTTTCATGGTCGGCTTGGACTGCAGCTGACTTGGCCGAAGGCTGGCTGGACGCTGGCGTTCGAGCTCTTTGTTGCCTGCAGTGCTGTGGATGTGACCAGCCAAGCTGCATTTAAGTACCCTGGAGGTTTGCGTCAGTGGCTCCACGATGGTTTTTTTTTCTTCGCTGGTGATAGTTTGGGGTTTTTTCTTTTTTGACAGATTACGTCAAAACTTGGTTCGAATGAGTCTGTGCTGATTGTGATCTAGATGCAGTTTCAAACTGACATGGATGGTGTCCTGTATCATCTGTCTGGCTAGGACTTCAGGATGCTTGGCTTAGCCATCCCATCTACACCTTTGGGCTCTCCAAAATGGAGGAGTTAGAACATAAACTTGGATGTTGTTTTTAAGAGCATGGTTGGAGCACATTATTGGTGCCCAAGGTCAGAATCCTTCTCCTGCAGGGTCAGCATAAGAGTGCGCTAATGTGAGGAGGGAAACAGCCATGTGGGGCTTGTGTGCAAGGCATGGTCAGGCCTCCAGGTCACCACAGGAAATCCTTTTGCTGGATGTCTCTGAGGCCTCCTCACATAACCTAGCAGAGGATGTCCAGGATCCCACCCCCCATCTCTGTTGCCCATCTCTCTAAGTCCCCCGAGATGATTTTCCTTCTCCAGCAATTGCAGGAAATTCTCATACACACCAAAACAGAGGGAAGTTCTTCCTAGGATTTAAGTACGAGGCTGTGATCAGAAGAGGTCCTGTAGAAATACTGATAGTTTAGGGCACACACGAGGGCATAGGAAACATGTATGAAGGTACCTTTGTGAAAATTTGAGACATTTGTACTTCCCACCTCTGTCATAAAAGATGTCTGAAGATACCTTCTGAAATCTGTTGAAAAGATACCTGAAAATAGTCATAGATTCAAAGATGAATAAGAGAGAAAGATGTTTCTTTGTGTAGGGTGTGTAGGAACATCTCTGTGAAGGCAGTGGCGGGTACAGATGGCTCCTTTCACATAGAAGGGTGATCTTGGAGGGTTGCTTGTTTGGAAGCACCAAAAGAGCAGAGTTGTAACATGTGTGGAAGACAAGTTGTAAAATGCATTGTAGGATGTGCAGAAGGTGCATGAGCTTTCACACACAAGAAACCACTGTACATTGGACACTGCCAGTCCCCTTCCAGCTGCCTCAGATGGGTACAGCCAGGGAGGACAGACAAGGAATCTTAGCCATTCTTCTTCCAGAGGAGAGAACATGTCCATGCAGCACCAATGGCAGTGGGGCCCAGTTATTTGTAACAGTGATACAAGAGAGAGAACCAGTGTTCTTATGGCTTGGCTTTTCCACAAAACATGATTCAACCACTGCTGATGCTTCTTCAAAGATCTATGGAAGATTTGGCTTCATTTTCTACTGAGTCAAGGATGGCTGTTTGCGGGGCTATTCCACCTTGTGGCATGTTACTATCCCTGCACATCATTTCCTATCGGTACACAGCTCTGATAAGCTGCTGAGCTGATAAGGGAGCAGATTGGCATCTCTCCTGCGAAACCCAACCTCAGTGGAAGTTCAGCTTTCCATCACGTAACCACCAGATGCCACAGAGCATCTGCAATTCATCTGGTGAAATTTTGCTGACACAGGCTGCTCTGTAGACTCCGTAAACTGGAATTTGTAGCCATTGTCTCAACACCTATCACTGGAAAAAACAGACCTCAGAGTGCAGAGACCTGAATCTGACCTGGGACAGAGCTGTGGCTTTTGCTCCCGGAGCTCACCTTCTTTTTCCTAGTGTAGGAGCTGGTATTTTTAGCTGTGAATCTGGTTTTCCAATGGCCTTGTGCTGCTGTGGTGATGGTGGTGCCCTCCACATGAGTGAACAGTGGCGTTTTTACAGCTAACTGAGAACCTGGCTGCTTCCTCCCCAGAACCTGAGTGACACTCAGGATGTAGTTGAGTGAGGTGGCAAACGCCATATCACAGGTCCTTGCCTAAGGGACAGGGTTGATGCTGTACCCTGCAATTGCTCCATAAGGCTGGGAGAAACCCCAGAATCGGGGGGGGGGGGATATCCAGGAAACCAGGGATCTGTTCCCAGCCTGGGTAACTCAGTGCTGTCCCAGGCTGACTCCACCTGCAGGGCTTGGTCCCTAGGGCGCCCATGTCCCTGCCGTCTCCTAGCAACAGGGACTCTTGTCACTGAGCCAGGGGATTCCGTGCTGGGCTGGGGTTGGATGGCGGCACCTGGTCCTTGCAGTGTCTCAGCTGCTCTTCAGGAGCACCTGAGGCACCTGACTCTGCAGGACTTCCCCTGTGGCCTTGGCAGCTGGGTAGGGTCCAGGGGGGCACAGCCATGGATGTGAATTGGGGTCTGTGGTCTGCAGGGCTCTCACTGCCTCTCCTCTCTCCCTCTCTGCAGAACAAGTCCCGCTTTGCTGCACGCAGGAGCCCCCATGGAGGCCAGCCAGGGCTGTGGGCAGACCTGGCCAGGCAGGAGGAGGATGTGCCACTGGGTGAGGAGAGCCCTGAGGCACTGGTAGAGCTGCTGAAGGACCAACACAGCCCCTGGGCCCTGCCACCGGGCTGCAGCCCCCAGGACCAGCTCCTGCGGGAAGTGGCCGTGCTGGAGCCCAAGCTCGTCCATGGCTCTAACGTCTTCCAGGTCCTCAGGTCCCTGCGGATCGTTGACAAGGGAGTAAGTGCAGCTGTAGGTGCCTGTAAAGCCGCCCATCTCCTGGCCAGGAAACCACATCTTCCTGTTGGGAGGGAAAAAGACACCTTCCCCATCCTTGGGACTCCCCAGATGCCACTATTGCTGCTGGAACAGAGCTAGTGCCCCATCCCCAGCATATGATACATGTGTCATGTGGATTACCACTGCAGGTCTGTGTCACCTTGGCTAGGAGGTGGCTCAGGGACATGTTGGCCAAACCCAGTTCTTTGCAGGTGGAGGAGGTCGATGCAGGTCTGTTGCAGCTGCAGCAGCTGCAGGAGCTCATCCTCAGTGCCAACCACATCAGTAGAGTAACCTCAGCCAACCTGCCCCGGACTCTGAAGGTGAGCAAGCAATCCCTTGTGATGGCAGGATTGGGAAGGAGGTCCTATCTGGGAACGCAATGCAAGCTGAATTGCTTGGGGGAATGTCAGGAACAGCTCATTGCAAAGGGTGTTTCTTGTTCTCTCTGTCCTGGACAGGTTCTGGAGCTCTGCTGCAATGCTGTGGCTGATCTGCAGGACCTGTGTGCTCAGCCTCCTCCAGAGCTTCAGCACTTGGGGTTGGGATACAACAGGCTGTGCGGACCTTTGCAGGACCAGTGCCTCACTGCAGCCTTCTGGTAATGCCATAGGCTGAATGTGGGCTCCCGAAAGGCCAAAGTGTGGAACAGGGAGATCACCTGAAACTGTTTTGACACCCCGCCCACTGCAGTTCCCATGTCCCTGAGCAGCTTACTCTTTCCATGCCCTTCCCAAAGCGCCTGCTGGCAGTCTGCCCTGGAAAGGATCTACAGCTTAGGCTGCATCACCAAATGATGCAGTGGGGTGATTCATGGATGCTAAAGAAACATGGGTTTGAGTTGTGGGGCAGACTGACAGTGGACCATTTGGCTAAGGAATCTGGTATTGGCCTCTTGAGGTTGTACCATTGGATTCCCCAGTTTGACCCAGTTTGTGCTGGGGAAACACAGTTTTTGTTTCTTTTTTTTTGCCCCAGGATAGCAGCTCTCTGGATGCTCTTTGCCTAACCTTCTTCTCTGGGTTCTCTCCATAGGCCAAATCTTGTATCCCTTGACCTGAGCTTTAACAACTTAACAGATCTTCTGGGACTGGTCTCCCAGCTGTCCAGTCTGGAGAAGCTCCGCATCCTGGTGCTGAAAGGGAACCCGTTGGCTCTCATTCCCACTTACAGAGGCTTCCTTGTGGACAGCCTGCCCAAGCTCTCCATCCTCGATGACATCAATGTAGGGTTTGATGAGAGACACCAGTTCCTTGGTTTGGCAAGTCAGCCAGGTCAGTCTGCACCCTTTAACTTCTCTGTGCTGCCTCCATGTTCTGGGAGGTGTTTTCATCATGGTTGAGCTAGGAATCCTCAGGGCAAGTGCTGGATCCAGTATTGACTTCCCTCTTGCCTCTCCTCAAATGGAGATTTTTCTTTGTGCCTTTTTACCCCACTAGTACAAGTGGGGAGACAGGCAGAGGATCCTGCAGCAGTGTAATTACACTCGAGGCAGTTTTAGCCTTAGTCAGGTGCAAAGACTGCAAGAACAACTAGTCCCAGCACAGGTTTGGTGCCACCGTCTGTCCCCATCTTTGCTTCCTGGACACTGTCTGGTTTCAGACTGTTTTCCTCTCCAGCTGCTGAAAGAGGAACTGCCCTGGGGAAGACGCTCACATGGGTGCAGCACTGTCCACAGAAAGCAGTGCCACCTCTGCAGCGTGGCACATCCCCGACTGGGATGAGAGCAGGGGGCACCCCGGGGGTAGGAAACCCCTCTTGATGGCCCCTGCTTAACGAGTTTATGTGCTAGATGTGCTCTTTGGAGTCAGAAGTGTTAACCAGGGAGGCAAAGCAACCAAGGCAGGAGATGTTTGTGTGGCTTTGGAGTGACCCCACGTGGCAGTGGCTTGTCACAGCGTTAGCCCAGGGTGGCAGGGAGGGATGCTAGGTGGTGGGACACATCCTCGCCTGCTTCCCACTGGTGATTTCACCTTGCTGTGTACTGTCCTCACTCTGGAAGGAGCACACTGCAGCTTCATAGCAAGATTGTCTTTCCTTTTAGAGCTGATGAGGAGTGAAGCACGAGTGGTTGTGAGTGTTGGGGCCATGAAAGGAGTCCCTGATCCCAGCACTCTTCAGCAGCTGGCAGATGACTCTGACTTCCCAGTGATCACCTACAGCTACTGTGTGACATATGAGTTTGTGGAGGGAGAAGAGCTTGACGATGGCAGTAGCGCTGAGGTTTGTGCTTAATAGGGCACCTGAAAGCAACAGGCAGTGGCAGGTCACAGCAAAGGGGACTTCATGTCCCAGATGCATAGCTTTGCTGCCTGGTCCTGGTGCAAACACAACTGGACATGCTTCCAAGAGATTCCCCTCTGTTCCAGGTAACAAAAATCCATGAGAGTCTCGAGGGGGCCACCTTGGATGCGGACAGCTCTGCCCAGGATGCAGGAGAAACAAAGAACCAGCAGGACCCTGCAGCCACAGAGAAGCCCAAGGCCTGTTCTGGTAAGGAGGAATTCTAAGTCTTCCGCCCCACTGCTCAGGCTCTTCCTGGCATATGGTGGCATCAGGATGTCCCTTATGGTGTTGGCTGCAGCTGGGCTATTACTGGGACTGATGGATAATGAATTGGCACTGGTCATGTCCCACGGGTCCTTCTGTCCTCAGGAAGGAGAGCTCTCTCAGAGGTTTTTTTGTGTCCCTGCACAGCAAAGGTGTTTGTCACCCCTGGAAAGCCCTGGGAAGATACCATTGACTACAGCTACAGGAAGGAACATATTGTTAAGGACTTAATGGGGCTGAAGTCCTACCTGGCGGCTGGAACAATTGTCTCAGTTGTGGAGGAGAAGGTGAGTGTGTGGCAGAGCTGGATGAAAGGGGAAGGAGCTGCTGTGAGGCCCAGCAGCGGTGTTGTGTTCTCTCTGGGATGCAGCATAGGATGCCAGTGACCCTAGGCCAGGGTCTTCGGGTGTCCCAGCCCGAAAGCACCAGCTCCTCTCTCTGGCAGGTCCTGTCATGGCCTGTTGAAGCTGATCCAGGAGAAAACATAGACAAAAATAAGAAGGCAGGACGGAGGCAGCAGAAGGATGGTGCCAAGGTAGGTGCTGGGAGAGCACGATGCCCAAATAACATCCAAGTTGCAAAAACACTGGTGGGGGAACAAGGACCCTTCTCTTGGATAGTTTAGTGTGTCAGGACCTCCCTTCCATCCCAGACCTCTCACCAAGGTACCCCCTTGCTGTGGGAGGAAGGCAGCAGCAGTTCTACATTTGGTCTGGTCGCAGTGGTGGGCAAGGGGCTGGGCTGTGGGGTTGTTTGCTGTCTGATAAAGGGTCCCCAGCCTTCCAGTGAGGCTTGTCCGTGTGCTGGTGCCCTGCAGCATCCTGCGTGCAAGGACAAGCAGAAAAAGAAGAAGAAGGCATGTGAATTCCGCAGTGACCCTCCCATTCGAAAGACCCTGGGCACCAGGAAGGTGACCCTGGAGGCTCTGCTGGCCACTGAGGAACTGGTGATAGCTTTGTGTGACTTTGGTATCCTGATCACTGAAAAACCACCACAGCCACCAAGTGTGGAGGAGAAGGTAAGGAGTGTGTTCTGGGGCACATGAGGCAGAGCTGCCAGGGATGGGCAGTGCTGCAGGGTGGGATTCAGCGTATCCTGGCCTGGGCATCCCTCCCATGCATCCCTCAGTTCTCCTCTCCATAAAATGGGGCTGAAATAGCCCTGCTTGAACACCATCCATTGATGCTGGTATCCTTACTCAGTGTTGATATTAGCAGTAAGTACTGTTACTTTTTCTGGGCCTGGGAAAATAGGTGAGTTTATTTTTCCACTTGAGAATATGAAAGCAACCCCTTGTGCTTCCTGTGATGCTCTCTCAGCATGGCAGCACACACCAACTCAAACGTTCTATTTCTTGGATTCTCTTCTCTGAGCATCCCCTCTGCTGTGCTTCTGCTTCCCCTCACCTCTTTCCTCCGCCCTTTAAATCCCTGTGACCAAACCCAGATGGTGATGGCAGTCACAGGACTGAATGCGGGCAGTGAGTTTCATCACAGCCTAACTACGGAAACACCTCTCTCCACAGGGCAAGAAGAAAAGCAAAGACAAGAGCAAAACCCCCAAAGCAGAGAGTAAAAATCAGGCCAAACAGAAAGCTTCAACATCTGCCAAAGGTGACAGAGAGTGGGGCTGGCTGGGCAGGGGGTGGTGAGTGTGAGAGCAAACAGCAGCAGTGCCCAGCCCAGAGGCTGGTCCCAGCACCCTGCCAGCTCTGTGAGCAGGGTGCTTACTCACATCCTGACCTCTGGGCTGTGAACATGTTTATTGACTGTGGGGCTGTAAGGTTTGACTCACACCCAGACACACTGAATCCAAGTCTGAGCAACTGTCCTGGAGCAGCACCACACACCTACAGGCTCTGAGTGCCAGGGGAGGACGGCAAAGCAGATTCTTGAGTGAGAGATGTGGTGCCTGCTGTGTTGGCTGCCAAATGTGGCTGGTGGTGTGGGCTGGCATGGGCAGCTGGGGCCAGTGCTGTCTGGGATGCATAATAAGGTCCTCATCCATTTCCAATTCACATCTCACAACACTTTGCAGAGGGGATTATTGTTCTTTCTGGTTTAGAGATGAGATGCACAGAGAAGCACCAGGTTGCCCCATGGTAGGGCTGGGAGCAGACCCCAGTCTGCTGTCACCCATAAAAGGACCATCCTGACCCCTGAGGGGTGTCCCCTGCCTCCTCAGTGCAGAGCTCAGCATCTGCTCAGCCAGCAGCATTGCTTAATCTGTGGAGACAAACCTCACCCTGCCTCTTGCAGGTTATTTTTCCAGCAATCTTGTTTTGACTACAAAAATAGCAGTGCCAGCACATCAGAGGGCTAATGCAAGAGCAGGAGGAAGTGGGGGAGGGCAATGGTGAAAAGCTGCTCATGGGTCAAGGAGAGCATGGAGCTGGTCAGGCCCCCTGTGTCCCCCCTACTCTGGCAGCAGATTAAGTTGCTAATTTAAGGGTGAAATTAACCCCTTCCCCAAAGCCCCAGGCTGCTTTTCTGTGCCCTCTTACGCATCTTTGGGGCGCATCTGCAGTCCTAGGCTGTGTCTGTGTTCAACAAAGCCTGGCGGCCTCCCCAGCTACCTGAAAAGAAGGTAAAACTCTCTAAATCGTTGTTCGTCATAAGAAAATGTGTATTTGCAGTATATGACAGGGAGCTGCTGTCAAACAGCTAAAGTTTAGCAGTGGTGTTTTCTGCTTCCTTTCCACCCCAAGTGCCTTTGGTCAGTGTGCATGCAGGAGGTCTTCAGGTCGTTCCTTCAGCCTGAGCAAGACCAAACCCTTGTGCAGGGGTTGTTGAGGCTGGGGGTGGTGTTGGGTGCACAGAAAGCTGCTATTGATGCAGGAAACCCAGAGTGATTAGAGGCTCATGCTTAATTTGGTGTCCCCTTATGTCTGTGCAGGGGGAGGCTGGCTGCAGCACAGCCACTGAGTACTATTTCAGACAGTGCCTATAAGCCATCTGCCTCCCCCAGCCTGTGACACCCGGTGCCAGCAGCATCCCCCAGTGTGCACTCTGCTGTCACTCGCTGTGACACCCCGATTGTGGCTGGGGGCCACTGGCTGCTCCATGAGTCACCACACTGCACCGTTTGGCACTTGCTCATCACCTGGGTACCACAGACCACCTTGAATCTCTGGCCATGGCTACGCTTTGGGGCACTGGGGCTGGGTCCCAGCCCTCCCTCCGCTGTGGCCGCGCATCCAACCAGGCTGCATAAGGACCAGCACTCGCAGCTGGGAGCTGGGGCTGATTTGCATCCCTCAGGCAGTAAATGCACACAAATAATAAGTCCTCTCAGAGGAATTGGGATCCCTTCCAGGCAGCTCAAAGAGGAAAGGCAGCAAGCTTTGTCTCAAGCAAACAATATGCCCGGACATTGAAGCGTGTCTTCGGAAGTAATCTCACGTGGGTCTCACTTATCCCATGCTTGATTTTCCAGGATCCTTGAAATGATTTATTTCTGCATCTTATTTCCTAGGACTTATAATAGAATTTAACAATAAAAAGCAAGATTGCACCCAATCAATTGCCTGCTTAAAGATGCATTTTGGGCTTCTCACGCAGAGCCGTATTCAAATAGATTTTCCCCCAAGGCCCAGAAGACGGTGCAGGGGCATTCCCTGCTGTGCACTGCTGCTTTTAGGGTGATTTACTCAGTCCAGACAGTGACAGATTTACATCTTTCCACAGGAAAAATCAAAAAGAAAGGCTCCAGTGTACTGGAGGAGGGTCAAGGGCTGCAGCCAGTACCGCTGACGGTTCAGTTCCAGATGCAGCTGCTTCGGTGGCCCCCGGCAGCCAGTGCTCAGAGCCAGGAGAGCGTGGCCACAGCAGTGGGGAGCACTCAGTGATGTGTCTGCAGCGGAAGAGTGAGTGGGAAATAAACCCTGTGGGGACAGCACGTGGAGCCTGGTTTAGCTGAATTGCCAGAGCCGGGAGATGCCCACGGGGTTGTGGTTGTCTGGGGCTGCTGCTGAGCTTCTGCAAGGAAGCTGCAGAGGGCAGGGGTGGGTGTGTGGTGTGCAGGGTGGGGTGTGCAATGTGCTGTGTGTAGGGTGGGTGTGCAATGTGCTGTGTGTAGGGTGGGTGTGCAATGTGGGGGGTGTGCAATAGGTGGGTGTGCAATGCAGGGTTATTCAGTGGTCGTTGGTGTGTGCAGTGGTCATTGATCAGGGCAGGGTGTTGTCGGTCCGGGAGGTGCAATGGGTGGTTGTTCAGCGCGGGTGTGCAGTGCGGTGGGTGGGTGCTCAGTGCGAGGTGTGCAATGGATGCAGGATGTACCATGCACAGAGTGCAGTGCCCGGTGCTCAGCGCACGGCCCATCCCGGCGGGGGCCGGAGCGGTGCTGACCCATGTGCAGGGTGCAGTGCCCGGTGCTCAGCCCACGGCCCATCCCGGCCGGGGGCGGGCCGGAGCGGGGCGGGGCTCCGGGGGGATGCGGGCGCGGCAGCGGCTCCCGGTGAGTCTCGACGGCGGCTCCGAGGAGTGGGGCGGGAGTAGCGCCGGGATCCGAGCCCGGTGTGCGCGGCTGAGCGGGTCCCGGTCCCGGTCCCGGTGCTCCAGAGCGGCCGCAGCGCGCCCGTGCTCCCCGGCAGCGCTTGGAGAGACCCGAAACCAGCCCGGGGCGCGTCCCTCCGAGCGGCGGGGCCAAGCGGGAAGTGAGTGTGGGGGGTTCATTGATAACGGCTTGTGTGTGCGTGCCGCGCAGGGGCTGCGTTCTGCACCATGGGCACCAGGATGAAGTCCCTCGTGCTCTACACCTTCTCAGTCACGCTGCTGGTGTGTTTTCTGTTCTTGAAGAAAGAGGAAAAGCTGTCAGCGTCGTCAGAGGACCAGAAAATGGATGTAGCAAGTCACAAACCCCAGCCTGTGCTTCTGGACAATGTGTGTTTGCCAAACCTGACTCTTGACAATTCTTCTCTCACCCTCCCGGAGTCTCACCGCATCTTCTTAACATACAAGCACTGCCGGAACTTCTCGATCCTGCGGAAGCCTTCCAGGTGTGGCAAAGAGGTATTCCTCTTGCTGGCTATCAAGTCTTCCCCGATCAACGTGGACCGGCGGGTGGCAATCAGGAACACATGGGGGAGGAAAATCTCCATTGGTGGCAAGCATGTCAGGCTGGTATTCCTTGTAGGGCAGTCAGAGGCCAAAAGCCAGGTACAAAAGCCCCTGCACCAGCTGCTGGCTTATGAGAGCCAGGAGTTTGATGACATCTTGCAGTGGGATTTTATTGACAGCTTCTACAACTTGACCCTTAAGGAGCTGCATTTCCTCCGCTGGTTCGTGGAGGACTGCCTGCATGCCAGGTTTGTGCTGAAGGGTGATGATGATGTCTTTGTCAACACTTACAACATTGTTGAGTTCCTGCACGAATTGGACCCTGAACAGGATCTCTTTGTTGGGGATGTGATTGCCAACGCCCGTCCCATCAGGAACAGCAAGGTCAAATACTTTATTCCAGCATCCATGTACAGAGCCACCTTTTATCCTCTCTATGCGGGTGGAGGGGGCTATGTCATGTCTAGGCAGACGGTGCGCCGCCTCCAGAGCACGGCAGAGGACACAGAGCTCTTCCCAATAGATGATGTGTTTGTGGGAATGTGCCTGGCAAAGATGGCAGTGACCCCAAAGAACCACGCTGGCTTTAAGACTTTCGGGATCCGGAGGCCTTTCAGTCCTTTTGATCCATGCTTTTACAAAGGACTGATGGTTGTGCACAAACTAAACCCGACTGACATGTGGATCATGTGGACGCTAGTAAAGGACAAGAGCATCAGGTGTGCGGTGTCCTTAACACGCAACTATGGAAGGGGCTGGAAATGAAGCTACTGAGGAGCACAGCAGGATTGTGACTGGTGACAGATACAGGGTGCTTAAACTAAAAATCGGGTTGTGGTAGAGACATATCCTTAACTAACAGACTGTACTTGAGCCATGGGGTTTGTCTGCAGGAAGTCTTCTGTCGGTGGGTTACAGGAGCAGTTCAATTGTCACATGGTCGGGATGGGGCTGGTAGATTGCTGGGACATGGAGCAGGGGCTCAGTTTGGTTTCTTCCAGCCAGATTGGAGCTGGGGAAAGTCACAATTGCCACAGGGATGCGAGTGAGTGCCCACCTGCTATGGAGGCTCCCCAGCACCTGTGGCTGGCCACCGATCAACTTCCTTTTGGGAAGTTCGTGGTGACTAATGAGTGACACAGCACTTGAAATGACTTGGAGTGGAGGAAAGGTCAGTGTGTGCTGCTAGGTCTGCTGCTGTCCCAGGCCAGCAATCCCAAAGGTCCTACGGGACAGAAGGAGAAAGGAAGTGGAGTGAGGAAGAAAAAGCCTTAAAGACGGATTCCACAGCAGGGTGATCCAAGGCACTGACTGGGCTCCCACTCAAGCCCTTTGGATTTTACAGAAGTTAATTTTCCCTTGCACTGAAAGCTTTTGCACAAACACTTTGATTGGGTGTGAGAGGAGTAGTATGTCTTGAATAATTGTAGTGGTAGGCAGAGTGGCTGTAGCTTTCCATGTGCTGTGGGAGGTGTATTTGTGTTGATGTAATGTTGGGTATAAATAAAAGACAGCTTTGAAAAGTGTTTTCCTAGGAGTATTCTTGGGTCTCCTGAAAGCAAGGAGCACCAAAAGCCAGAGAGGGCTGAGATCCCATGCTGGGTATTTGCATTAAAAGGATCACTGCTACTAAAGAGGATGCGGTTCTGCGGAAATGGATACTTGCTGCTTCCTTTCCTATGCGCAGCTGCCCTGTCCGGGTAAGATGCATTGACACAGAAGTGATTGATCTGTGTGTTGGGATCACTGATTTGAGGAAAGATCAAGTATTAAACTCAGATTTGATGAAACTTTTGTGAAGTTTATTGGCTTCAGGGTGTGTAGCTGCTAGATCTGAAGCTGCTGTGCATGAGCAGGAAGCAGCCTGGAGTTTGACCAACCTGTTTGTGTGGAAGGTGTCTGTGGCAGGGACTGAATGACCTTTGAGGTCCCTTCCAGCCCAAACCAGCATGTGATTCTGTGATAGAGGCAGCAGGTAGAGAGGAAGTGTGTGATTATCCAAATCAGAGCAATTTGTGTTGTGCTGTTGTCACTGCTGTCTCTGGTGCCAGCTGCCCTGTGCTCACTGCCCACCAGATGTCAGCTGGAGCTTTTGGAGGTGCCTGGGAAGTGCTTCCAGGTCCTTGCTTGTGCTACAGAGAGATCAAGGGTATCTGGAGAGCAGAGATGTGATGTGCTCTCAGGGCAGGCTGCCTGTGCTGCTTTCCAGCAGGGCCTTGTGTGTGTGACCTCGGCATGAGGGACTCCTGGCACTTCTTGCTGCCCTGGCTTTCTAAAGCACCGGGTATAGTTCTGGCTCAGCCCTGTGGTACAACCCAGCCTCCCATGGCAGGAGTTGCCACTCTCACGCAAGCTGTTTCTGTGCCAGGTGTGAGGGTTTGCCTGAAAATGCTCTTCCAAGGGGTAAGCCTGTGTGTGGCCATCCTGTGTGGTCTGCTACAAGCTGCTGCTGTGTCTTCTCACTGCAGCCCCAAGAGGGGTTAATAGCTCTATGAGCTGTAGCTGAGAAATTGTCTACGTGTAGTTTCAGACGATGTTGGCTTTGTAAACAAGGCTGAGTATCAGCAGCATACCCAAGTTTCTGGGCACTGCTGCTTGTTCCAAAGAAGCTGGGGAGAAAGGGTACCATGGTACCCTCCGAACTGCTGCAGCAGCATCTTTCTGATCCACTCACTGATTCCAAATGCAAACTCAGTAACATAACGTAGAGCATGATGTCATGTCTGTTGTGGGCTTAGCTGTATGGGCTAACTCCTAGCAGGGAACTCACTTCCTAATAAAGTGTAGGACTCTTTCCACCCCGGTTTGGAGGCAGTGTGGAGCCACTTGTGCTCCTCAGGCCTATTTTGGCTTGACTGAACCGATTCCTGTCACATCTGAAGGTTTGATGTGTGTGGGACATCTTACTTCTCAGCCTGTGCCTTGGGAAGTAAGAGTGAGGAGTACAAACAAGTGGGGCAACAGGGGGCTGGGAGCATGCCCTGAAAGGGAGAGAGTTGCTTTGCAGACTCCTGTAGCAGTGCTCATCTGTACTAAACTGTATCTATGCCATGAAAGCATCTGGGCAGTTACTGTGGAATCCTGAAAGGAACACGACTTACATGTGCATTTGGGTCAGTGGCTTAGCAGCCATTCTTCAACTGCAGCATGTCACAAATTGAGCAGCTTTGGTTACAGGCTGACCTGCAGTTGCCTTTGGCTCTTGAGGCTGTGGTTGTGCCCCTGCTGCAAATAACCCTCTCCTGCTAGTGGGGTTTTATCTAATGGTTTGGCCCAAAGCTGTGTTTAGGACCTCCTGACTACCAGCACAGCAGGCACTGGCATCTTCCTGTGAGCTTGGATTCTGGACTATGCCATCCTCCTTGGATACAGCAGCATCCAGCAAGGAGCAGGAACAAGGAAAGATGGTTTGTTTAATTCCTTTACTACTTCATCTATAAATGTACAGCAGTGTGCAACTAAGACTGTGTTTGTTCAAAGGTCAGGCAAAATGAGACACATATAGAAAAGCTTATGCTACACCTGCGTCAAGCACAACTCAGTTTAGTAACAGCAACCTTGACACAGGTGTAGTGCGTGAGATGCTAATTCCTGGTAAAACCCCTGATTAATGTACAAAACCTGATGAGTGGGGATTAACTGACTCAGCAGTGATAAAGTCCTAGTGGATGCTGTTCCACGAATCTATCTCAGCTCTAAGTTTCTATTGTCTATACAGTTAATATTGCAAATTTCACATTCAGCTGTCAGGTTAGAAAATGAGCA